TCAGTACCGTTCATTAAACTGAGCGTCTCTCATAGCGACTGTGACTCAGAAGGAGCGAGACACAAACAGTCGGTCAGTCTGCAACATGCTGAAGCACAAAAGCGCATTTAACAGTGACTTGTACAAGAAATTCTCCATTTTCCGTCCCGGTTGGGACAAGTGGGAGGTCATGTGCACAGGTTGGAGGTGAGAGGACAGTGTCCCTCGTTTATCGCGGGGGTTATGTTCTAAAAATAACCTGCGATAGGTGAAATCCATGAAGTAGTCAACTTTATATTTTACAATTATTCTATCTGTTTTAAGTCTGTAAAACCCCTCAGCACAAACTTTATACACTTTCCTCAGACAGGACAGGTGCAACCCTTTTTACTTCCTTCTTAAAACTTATTGCTGCTGTCATCCTTTTGTTATTTTCCATCTTCTTTATGTAACAAACTGAAGATTCATTTATTCCGTAATGGAGCCAACAGCGCAGAGTCCCGCACGGATCCATTTTTGGAGACCCACAGTACAACACTGCACCTGCGCAGTACAGGACTGCACCTGCCCGTTAACCAGGGATTATATCAAATTTTTGTGCTGCCTACGCCACGGACTGAACCAAGACTAACCCAGGACTAACCCAGAACTGATTCCAGGACTAAAGAGGAGGACTAATCCACGACTGAACTAGGAATAAACCAGGACTAAACCAGAACTGAAACAGGACTCACTGTCAGGACGGGGTCGGAGGTGACGCAGGAGAAAGGACCGGCTCAGCTCTGCACCTCACGGATGTAAACGCAGCAATTGCCCGATAGCGCTTTACGGACAAACTGCTCAGCGTTTTCTCTCTTAAGTCCAAGATTAGACCTGGTTTAGACCTGGTTTAGTCCTGACTCATCCGTGTATAATTACTACCCACCTGTAATACACAATAAGCGTTCATACACTGTAAAAAAAATAAAAATAAAATAAATAAATCCATCATATGTAACTGGGTAGAGCATCGGCCAATCACACGCATCTTTACTGCCACACAGCTCCACAACAACTACTCTGACAACACCAAGAGACCAGCAACATCTGAGCCACAAGAACCACATCAAAACAGTGACAGCAGGAGGAGCTTCCTGGGAGAGCGAGGCTGAGTCACATTTCTCTTTCCTCGCTTCCTTTTCCTTGATTCCTCAGCTATCAGCTATCTTAACTATGTCTCAGCTGTCAATCAAATGTGTCATATTAAGTGGTGTCCCAAAGAAAACCACCGAAGGAAGGAGTAAACCTGAGGGAGGCTTCAGGACCTTAGACCTTCAGACCTTAGATAAAAGAATCAGACTTTCTTGGTGTCAGTGAGTGAGTTTAGATCTTCTCTCTTCATGGGTCTTCTCTGTGGGCGGGACTTCCTCACCCATGTCCTGTAGAATCAAAGAGAGGAATCAAGGAGAAGGAAGCGAGGAAAGAGAAATGAGACGTGGCTCTAGTGCCAGAGACGCAGGAAGTGACCCGGGGCTCTTTTATGACCTTCCTGACAGTGCCATCTGCTGGACGTTTGATTTACGCAGAGTTCGCACTTTCACACTAAACAGTATGTCAGCACGCTCGCCCCTCTACAGACCTGACTAACTTGTGGAGGGTACACTACCTGACTCTTTACAAACAATCTGAAAATCTGATACTAATCAATACCAAATCCATTCTAAAAAAAAGTCACGTTCACCTTCTATATATTAAAAACAAGTGCTCCAGTTTAGTTCTAGTTAAGTTCTGGTTAAGTCCCAGTTAGCTGTCATTAAATACTGGTTTAGACCTGGTTTAGTTCTAGATTAGTTATAGTTAAATCCTGGTTTAGTTCTAGATTAGTTATAGTCTAGTTCCAGTTTAGCTCCAGTTTAGTTCTAGTTAAATACTGTTTTAGACCTGGTTTAGTCCTGGTTTAGTCCCAGTTTAGCCCCAGGTTAGTCTTGGTTTAGCCCAGGTTTTATCCTGGTTTAGTTCTGGTATAGTTCTAGTTTAGTCCTGGTTTAGTCCCAGTTTAGCTCCGATTTAGTTCTGGTTTAGTTCTAGTTAAATCCTATTTTAGACCTGGTTTAGTCCTGGTTAAGTTCTAGTTTAGTCCTGGTTTAGTCCCAGTTTAGCTCCGGTTTAGTTCTAGTTAAATACTGTCTTAGACCTGGTTTAGACCTGGTTGAGTTTTAGTTTAGTCTTGGTTTAGTCCTGGTTTAATCCTTGTTTAGGCCTAGTTTAGTCCTGGTTTAGTCCCAGTTTAGTTCTGATTTAGTCTTAGTTTAGTCTTAATATCTAAACTGGATTCACTCCTGTTTACGACCCAACTGGTGTTAACTGAATTTAGACCTTGATCTACTTTAGACCTGGTTTAGGTTTGTTATTATCACTGTGGTATCGACATGTGCATTGAGCAGAGTATTTCTTCGTAATTGTAATGGACTTTGAAGTGTTTGTTTGGTGACAACACGACTACGTTGATGTGAGAATAAATAATGCATCCTAAAGCGTGTGGGACAAAAGCTTTAACACAAACACATGACACTGGTGCTTCTCTGTTGTAAACTCACACAGTGCAAAGTTGAGAAGAATACAGAATGATTCATTGTTTGTCCGACCTTGGCAAAGTCTCAGTGAAGTGAAAAGCACAGAGCTGAGAGCTAAAGTGATGCTTCACAGCTCACATTGCTGGAGTGGCTGTAATAAGCAGTTGTGTGAACCATGTGGAAAGGCCCTCTCCAGAGCTGAGGAGGCCCAGGCGGAGTGGGCCGAGCTGGGCAGGCGGCAGGCTGGTCCCCCCCTCCCCCTGCTACTGTCTGGAGCACTTGTTCTTCTGAAGGACTTTCACATTCACAGTGCCGGCTAATGGGAGCCACTCTGGAGGTAAGCGCTGAAATCCTGGAGCTCACACTTGGGCAAATTGGTGCATTTTAAAAAGACCGAACAGAGGAAATATTGGGCTTGGCTGAGTAAAGACAAGGCAGGAACTTTACTCTAAACACAATTAGGGTTGTCCTGGTTCGACATATAAATGAAAGAGCTCGGATAACATTTTCTGACGCTCTAGATTCAGATCTCTGTTATAATGTTGTTTCCTCATCACAAACAGACCTGGAGGGTATTTCCTGAAGCGAGCTGAAGTGAAAGTCTGGCTTATCTGGGAAGTTCAGGCTTATCAAAGTCTCAGTTCTGTTCACCAAAGTGACTGACCAGAGGTGACACTGAGCTGCAGAAGTAACAAGCACCAGAAAACAAACCTGGTCAGGACCAGACTCACTGTCAAGATTATTTTAGCTCTGTCTCCAAGAACGTCTAAAGAAACTGTTTAGTCCAAAGTTTCACTGGAGACTTTTACCTGCTCCTATACATGTGAGGACAGAAGACACACGTGTGTGAGGACAGAAGACACACGTGTGTGTGGACAGAAGACACACGTGTGTGTGGACAGGGGACACACGTGTGTGTGGACAGGGGACACACGTGTGTGTGTGGACAGGGGACACACGTGTGTGTGGTCACTGCACACATCAAAAAGGCACAAACCATGTAAAAGCCTGTGGGCATTAATGATCTTGCACTTGTGGTGGTTGTGGGGGCAGCTTTGCACTGATTTTATTGGTTCTTGTTACATGTGATGAGTTCTGTTACAGCTTCACTTTCACACACAGCAGAACTTTAGCTCTGCACGACTGTGCATCAGGAAGAGGTCAGGCAACTTCATTCTCCGAGCGTAGTAACACTCCACAGCCTCCTCCTCTCTGTCCACAGAACGACCGAGAGAGGAGGAGGAGAACAGGAGGAGAACAGCAGAGGAGGGGGAGAATTCTCCAAGGAGATAACTACATTTTATGCTGTACTGTGGGATGTTATAGCCAAAGGAACATTTCCTCCTCCAGGCAAAAATAACAGTCAGGTCTGTGGAGATGCAAGCCCGCTCACAGTAAGAAAGTATGTTCTCCAGTACAATAAACACACAAAATGAAGAAAAAAAACATGTGTTGATTTGATGTATTATTATTTTATTTTGTGGCTACAAAGTTACATACTGTGGCTTTAAATAAATGTTTTAACAATCAGAAAAAATGTGTTCCTTGAGTAAATTGTCCCTGCACAGACGGATGATATAGATGGAGGAAAAACTGTGCTGTATTTTTCATTTTTGGCTCTTATTGTTTCTACACAAAGTGTTACTTTACCAGTGTAAAACTCTGCAAAATATTGATCAGAGGTACTACCACACCAAAACAAGTACTCATTTAAATAACTTAGAAATAAATGCTGACCTGAGTCCAGTCCTTTTATGTTTAAACTGACTGGATTTGAGTGATTTTGCTTTCTGACTGAATAATGTGCATAATGTTTTTGTTTCAGCATTATAATTGTTATCAGTAAAAGTTATATTTGATTTGAACATCAAATCTGGGGGCACAGATACGTCAATTTTATGCAATTTAAAATAAAAATCTTCAGACAGTTCCTTTAAACGTCTGACTCCAGTTCAGTTCTGTTACAAATGTGTTGAAGTCTTCTGGACCTGAACATACACCAGCAGTCAGAACACTTACAGACATGATTCATGCAACATGCAACATGTACGGAATTATGGATTAAAGAAAAAAAGTTAAATCATTTGACTAAATGTGTTTAATATTTTAGTTGAAATCCTCAGAGTATCGACCCTTTGCTTTGTCAACAGAGCTGCAAACCCTTGGCCTCCGCTCATTGAGTCTCCTGAAACGTGTTTCACTTCACTGTGAAGAGTCAAGAAATGCCACATGCAAAGCAGTGATCAAAGCAAAAGGGTGACTATGTTTTATTTTATTATTATTACCATGGTGACACATTGCACACATTAGCAAACGCAAACAAAAAAGTCAAAAAAGATGATGATGCCTTCAGTGAGAATCTCCATTGTAAATTATCACGAAAAAAACCCCCAAAAAAACAGCTGCAACAGTGTGACTGGTGTGTAAACAATATGTTTCTCGTGAGCTTTCTTGTGTACATGGACAAGTTCATATTTGCAGCAGGAGGGCGACTCCGGCCAGGGTCCACTTGGACGGTCTGTCCTTGGTGCGGAGGTGGAAGGTCCAGACGTAGGTGGGGCCTCTCTGTCTGGTCTTGTACAGGGGGCAGGGGTACAGGCTGCGCTGATCCTGTTTGTCCACAGGCACCGCCCGGATGAAGACGAGGGGCATGGAGGGGGTCAGCTCCTTCAGCCGGGAGTCCACCATCAAACCACTCTGCAACACAAACCAACACCCGGGTCAGGAGCCAGTCTGGACATGGAGCCTGAGTTTACAAGAGACAATGTGAAACCTGAGACATTCACCAGTGACCACACTCACATCTCTGTGAAGTACTGCAAAGTGTGTATTCTGAAAGTTACTTATAATGTTGTTAACTATTCATATATAATAGTTAACAACATTATAGTGAAGATTTTAATATATTTGCTAAATGTGTCTTGCCCCAGTGCATATATTGTACACTGTAGAATATATTTTATATGAAGTAAAAATAAGTCAGCTGAGTTTTGTAGAGCAAAGGACCCCAACCTCCGGGCTGTGGACCGGTACTGGACCGTGGGTCATTTGGTACCAGGCCAGGACTAAAACCAGGACTAAAATCAGGTCTAAACCAGGTCTAAAACCAGGACTAAAACCAGGACTAAAACAGGATTTCACCAGGACTAAACTATGTTGTTATGTTTATGTGTGGACGTGTCTCCTCCTGTACGCCGTGTCTTCTCATGTACGGCGCTTGGACCGTGCATCCTTCTAAACCAGGGGTGTCAAACTCATTTTGGTCCGGGGGTCGTATCCAACCTACTTTGATCCCAAAGGGGCTGGATCAGAAAACTCATGTCATATAAACCCCAAAAATAAAAATAAGTTCAAATATTTGTGCAGAGAAACACAAATCTGTTACAGAAATCTTTTTTAATTGATGAACTCTTTCTTTTACAAAAATATTATAATATTATTAACAACCTGAAACTTTAAGAAAAATTCAATTTCAACACAATGTTTTAACATGAACTTGTTTGCAAATAGGAATAAGTCAATTTTTCTTGGAAAATCCTGCACTTTTCTCATGTTGGACATTTTTCTGATGAGGGTGTCACGGTCAACAGTCAAAACGATCGTCCTTTAAGAGCGTTTGGAAAGAGACAAGTCTTCATTTGTGCTGCTCTGGTGGGAGGGGCCACGTACAGAGACGCTGGAGACACTGCTGTGATAAACACAACAGAAAATTAACAAGATTTTAATAGAAAAGTTTATTAAATATTTTAGTAGAAAATCAGATGAGGGCCCGATTAAAGGTCTTGGAGGGCTGGATCCAGCCCCCAGGCCGTATGTTTGACACCCCTGTTCTATACTAATACTGTCAGACATAAAACCAGTCTGTGGCGCTACAAAGGTTGGGGACCATGCTGTAGAGGATTTGTCCACTGATCCAAAGGTTGGTTGAGGCGATTCCAGCTTCCATAGACGAATGATGTTGTTGTGTCCTTGAGCAAGACACTTAACCCACCTCACCCCAGTGTCTGTGTACACTGGTGTGTGAATGTGTGTGTGAATGTTAGACTGGTTGCACTTTGAGCACTGAGGGAGGAAAGTTCTACAAAAATGTGAGCATTTACCTTTTTCCACGCTGCCTGTGAAAGTTGTATAAAAGTATAAAGTCATTGTGGAGAATAATGAGGATGCTCTGAATGGCAAAGGTAAAGTAGGTGAGGAATAAGTTTGGACCACTGCAAACCATTTAAAGTGACTAGTTCTGTTTTTCACATTTTTAAAACAGTAAAAATCAGGCACAGTGCGTTTTGATTAAACTAATAAAAATGAATCACAAAACCTTTGTTTTGTTAAATGAAAGTTTAAACTTCTTCGTGCATAAATTGAAACAGTATTTTGGATGAATGCTCACTTTCTGTATTTTTGTACTTTTCTTTTCAACTTTCTTCCACAAATGATCACTTAACTGATCGGATAAATATTTACCACGGCAAACATCAGCTCCACATCACGACTAAAATGAACTCAAATCAGGAACGCAGTCTAAAGCAAAATGTGCATAATCTAATGCTGCTTTAAATGTGCTGTCCTTTTCACTGTTTTTCACACAGAACCTTGAGACATAAATAATGAAAAGCGCTTCATCTTTTCACCGCTAAACTGTAACAGAACTTTAGTGGAGACCCAGTGTGTGCCCTTGGCTTTACACCGCTCCTAATAACACATTCCACTTGATGTGTAATTAAAAAGTTCAGAATAAGTCTCATGATGAGTTGTGTTTTGGCTGTCACTGCACTTCGTCGGCGTATATACTTTTGTCTGGACTTTGGAAAGTTGCTGGTTGGATTCTCAGCGTGCTGCTTGTGTCCTTGGAGGAGAGGGAAAGTCAGGCTTTGAGTTTGACTGGAGCAGGGCTGAAAAACATGGCTCTCATTACCGCAGCTACAACATGTGTGCGTGTGCGTGCGGGTGCATGTGTGCATGTGTGACTTTGCGAGATGCCGAAGGACACGCACTAATCGTATGTAAACTGCAGGCTTAAAAACACGATTATTATGATCTTGTTATTTGGAGTGGGCCCATAGTGGAGTCTGCCACATGCTGTTCTTTAAGAGTGGATGACAGGCTTGCATGCTTTTCTAATTATGACTTAGTTTGGTGGATTAATGACCGTGGTAAATGTTTATCATAATTTTGTATCAGTTAAATGGCAGTTGGTGAAGAAAAGTTGAAAAAACATAACAAAAAAGTAAAAAATCCAAACTGCAGAGACTATGGGCTGTGCACAAGGAACACAATTTTCTAACATTCAAACTAAGATTTTTCTTTTGGTAAATTTTTAAATATAACCATATTAAAAGTCCTGTATTACCCAAAATTGAATCCTTTAAGCCATGTTAGAATGTTGTTACCTCCTTAAAAACTACGGAAGCCGAGAGATGTCACAACAAACGTCGCAACAAATACAAATGTGACAACACAACAAAAAGCCACAACACATTAAAAAGCCACAACGGAAGTGACCGTGGGACTCTATTTTCAAGTGGCATATCAAGTGGCAAGTGAAGAAGAAGAACTACAACATGAAAAGTAAAGGAATGGAAAAGTTGGAAACGTGAGTAAAAGTAATTGTTTTATCATTATTCATTTCATGTTGTAGTTCTTCTTCTTCACTTGCCGCTTGATCGGTCCGTCGGAAAATAGTGTCCCGCGGTCACTTCCGTTGTGGCTTTTTAATGTGTTGTGGCTTTTGCGTTTGTGTTGTGGCGTTTGTATTTGTTGCGGCGTTTGCATTAAAATAGAGTCCCGCGGTCATTTCCGTTGTGGCTTTTTTTGGTTTGTTGTGGCTTCTTGTTGTGTTGTCGCATTTGTATTTGTTGTGGCGTTTGCGTTTGTTATGACCCCTCTCGGCTTCTGTAAAAAACAGACCTGGAGTTGTGTTTTGTTTTATTCACACTTCTGTCTTCACGTCTGTCAGCTGTCATTTTCAATGTTATGAAGTTGTTACTTGAATCACAAAACCTTAGTTTGAGGCGATTCCAGCTTCCATAGACGTTGTTGTTCTGCTCCCTGCTCTTCCTCAGAGTCACGTGATGTTGCTGTGACGTGTCGCTCAGCTGATTTAAACAGGTTTTGGTGAAATCTACAGTCCCTCTTCCTCAGGACAGTGTCCCAGGTGTGAGCGACACATCACAACAACATCATGTGACTCAGAGGAAGAGCACTAGTGAGCTGTTGCAATTGTAAGGTATGAATACAAACTCTTGGTCTGAAAAAAAGAACCTACTAACATAAATTCCCACTCTTTTTCAAAATTTCAAAACTTTTCCATGACTTTTTCATGACCTAAAGTGAATTGTACATGTATTGATCAGACTTTTAAGGCTAAATATGAAATGCGAACTCTTTCCACTCACCTTATGGTTTGGGATTATAGTTTTTGAACATTCAAAATCCTGTCAGTGCGTTTATTGTCGTCTCTTTTAAACAAAAGGTGTAGACGTTCAGAAATAATCAGAACAGACTCATGAGAACTTAACAGAACACTGGAGTTGCTTGAAAGAAATACTAAAATTCCATGACTTTTTTCAAAACTTTCATTGAATTTACAAAATTCCATGACTTTTTCAGGTCTGGAAAATAATATTTTCAATTTCCATGACTTTTCCAGGATTTCCATGACCGTGGGAATCCTGATTATCGGACCAAATTAACCTGTAACTGTAAATTTCAAGTAAATAAACAGCTCCTTTTACCTTATGTTCAGCAGCGATTGGAAACCCCAAGGCTGAAAAGATCCAAATGATTCTAGAGAAAATGTATGGGGTTTAAAAACACAGTGGAGCACTTCCTGTATTACCACATGGCATCACAAGGTGGAACAGAGTGTTTTGCTGAGAAGAACTCAGCTTAAATCTACAGGGTTTGTGTGTTAAACGTGTGAATGAAACAACACACAACCGCAGGTGTGTGTGTGATGAGGAGACAACATTACAGCACAGAGTAGATTGTGTAATACCGGCTCTTTAACTGAATAACTGTTGGCTAATGCTATCTAGCTTGTGACTGTAATGTTATTCGAGAGGGACTTGCTTAACAGCACAAATCAACTAAAAAAAACATCCTATCAGCATGTCAGCCTCCCACCTGCTCGTGCACCTGTGAGCCGAGCCTGTTGTGACTAAACACTCCATGACAATCTCTCACAAAGTGCTTCAGATCATTACTGCAATTACCCCGACCCAGCACACTCCAGACGCTGCAAGGGCCTGCATCAGCGTCAGCAGCATTATTGGTTAAGTTAGTTATTTCAATCACCTCCTAAATTAGAAACAGAGTGGCAAATGTGCTAAGAATTTCCATTGGGATACAAATAATGCCAGATTTGGTGTTACGTACTTTAAAGAGCTGATATTACAGCATTTTCTGATCTACGTTCTAATGTTTCTTCATCACAAACACACCTGGAGTTGTGTTTTGTTTCTTCCACACAAACTTAACACACAAACTCTGCACATTTAGGCTGAAATCTTCTCTCAAACTGAGAACACTGTTCTACCCTGTGATGTCATGTGGTAATACAGGAAGTGTTCCACTGCGTTTTTAAACTCCATATGCCTTCACTAGGATCATTTGCAGAATTTCATCTCTATGAACTAAAAGTAAAAGGGGTGTTAACTTGAAAATAGGGTTGGGCGGTAATATGGTATTACAATATCTCGCAGTATCAAAAAGTAGCAGTTTCATTACCGTCATTTTAAATACCTAAGGACCTAATATAATATAATAATTTATTGATACCTACATTTGTTTGCTCAGCACAAATGAATGTGTGGTTGTATTTTCAGTTTAATGTAATCATGATTTAAAACTAATAGTGTCTATAATGTTTCTTTTAACAGTCACGTGACAGATCATAAGGGAGATCAAGACAAGGTGGCAAGTCCGGCTGCAAGCGATTTGGTCCCCCCCAAAAATACTAGTACTTCTACAATTTTGCAGCATTTTGGCTTCAGGCCACATTTGTTTACGTTTAACAGAAACAAAACTTAAAACCGAATGCCTAATTTGCATAAACTATAAAGCGTTGATAAAAACTGCTCGCTCCTTATGAGCTGATGTGATTCAGCTTCTGTAGAACTAAATGACATGACTCAGGGGAATATGTGTGTTCTTTCTGTGACAGAGGATGTGCTGCTGATGGTGAGTCTGTTCTGTGTGTGTATCACATTGGAGATGGTTCATGTGAAACTTTTCACAGATTATACGTCTGAGAGTCGTACACACAGACAGTACATCAGTGCGGCTTCGTAGTTTACCAAAGTCGTACCTAAACATTTTGGTAATATGGTAATACTGTATAACCTGGTAAAATCCTTTTTAGAGAATTTTAACGGTATCAAAACTTGGATACTGCCCAACCCTACTTGAAAACTACCACTGCATGACATCACAAGGTGGTGCAGAGCATTCTGAGCTTTGCAGGTGTTCACAGACTAGGTTACAGAATACATAAACATGCGTGACTGAAATGAAATGCAACATTATAACATGACTAAAAGCTCACAAGAATCAATTTTGTGTAGTACAGGACCTTTAACGAATGATTGTTGTATTTTTGTATATGTAGTGCCATACTATAAAGAATATATTTCATTCCATTTCAAATCTCTCAAAGCTTTGCAGCAGACTGTCGTCGAACAACTGAAGAACTAAAGAGAAACAGATTAGTGCTGAAAAATGATCCTGTTTCCTCGCAGTGAATTGAACTATCTTCAATTAGTCACTGGATGTAGTGTGTTATAATAGCAACGAGTAATAGACATGTTACATTTATTTGACTCAGTTAAATGAGTGTTGATTTGAGTAGAGATTGCTCTTGTGTATAGTTAATAGTTCTGACTCCAGGTAATGTGAGACATAATGAATAATGCAACAGCAGCTGAGTCCAGTCCAGGACTTTATTATGGGTTTGTAGATGAATGGGAGTGCAGCTCGATGAAGGGGATTAGGAAGGGTGGAGTAGGCAGGGATTATAGAGGAGTGATTGTTCAACATTTACACACTAATCCATTTGGGAGATTAAGAACTCCACGATATCAGGCAGCTTCAGCACAAAGAAAATCAGGTGCATTTCTTTGCTTTCCCTTAATTGCTGTATTTTGTATTCTTATTTTAACATAGTAAAACTTTTGTTATTGTAAACAGACTTTATAAATATTTTGTAAGTAGATTTTGTTTAAGAATTTAGCACTGTATCATGTAGAGGCGTAGACCCCATCCCTGGACATACCTGAGTGTCCCAGCGGGCCCCCTCCATGTAGAGTCCGTGCACATAGGCCCCATCTCTGGGGGCTGAGCTGAGGTCCTCACGGCTCTTCTTTGTCACATCACACTGCAGACACATGCTGTCCAGGGGCCACGCGTTCCTAAACACATACATCAGGACTTTGATGCTCTACTTGAGTTTCCTTTTCATTTAAGTTTGAATTTTATTTCCTACTAGGAGGACTCAAATATACACTGAGTAATAATGTGTTTAATGCAGCTTTGTGAACATTTGTTTATATTTTACAAAAATAAAACTTAAAACCACATGACTCATTTGCATAAACTATAAGCGCTGAAAAAAACAGCTGACTCCTTGTGCACTGATGCAGTTCAGCTTCTGTCTGAGTAAAGGACTCAGTGGAAAATATGTGTTCTTTCTGTGACAGAGGATGTGCTGCTGATGGTGAGTCTGGTCTGTGCTTCTATCTTGTTGGAGATGGTTCATGTGAAACTTTTCAGAGTTTATACTTTGTGAGACTCCTGACTATCGTAGCTGTAATGCCCTGACAATTCATCAACCAGTGTGACTTCATAGTTTATCCAAGTCGTACTAAAATATTTTGACAGATTTTTGAGCTCTGTGTACCACATAAAAATCAATTTGGGGTCAGTAAACACAACCAGAATTAATACACAAGGTGCACCGGATTATAAGGCGCATTGTTGATTTTTGAGAACATTAAAGGATTTTCAGTGTGCTTTATACTGTAGTCTGAAAAATACAGTATGTGGTCTTTTTCATAGTTCCTATAGAAACAAACATGGATTCATAGAACCATAGTTACAATACATATATACCTTTCAGTTTCAGGCAAAACCATTCTAAAACAGTTCAGGAAAAGTCAAACTGTGTGCTTGTTTGAGTGAAAATCTCGTTACTACACTAGTTTTAATACTGATTAGTATCTGAGACACTTGAGTGAGAACAGGCTCCAGAAAATAACAACACCTTCCTATACTTTACTGTTGGTGACCTTTTATAGAATTACTAGTATATGATTTCCGATCATACAGACTTGCACTGACCCCTCAGAGCTGTAGGATTTATATAGCTACAGTATTTATGTACAAATGGAAAAGCATGTGAGCTCTTACTTTCGTGCCGAGGCCTGCATGATGGCTGTGAGGAAGGACTGTGGGTTGAAGAACCCAGAGAGCCAGACTGCGGGGGGCAGGCTGAAATCTGCTGCCCAGGCCTCCAGCTCTCTGACCCGCAGCAGCAGGTCAGTGAACCAGAGCGTGAGGCCACACGCAGAGGGGTACGCCCGCTTCACCCAGCCCTCTGGAACCACGTCCAAGAACAGCGACGACTGAAGGCTCTCCATCTCAGCGCTCATGGACAGCTCCCCCTGTGGACCACAGGGTTACATGTAAGTGTCAGAAAATCATATCAGGCCACAAATGTCACAAGACCAAAAAAAAAAAGTTACAGATAAGATACTGTGGAACATTCAAGGAAAAGCAATAACAATGGGATCTTCAAAGCTGCAACATATACACACCTATAACAAAACAATGAAATTAGCCTCAATAAATCATGATAAAACACTTAATTACCATACCATACAAACTTTATTTACAAAGCACTTTAAAAATTTCACATTTGGCCAAAGTGCTGTACACAAACTCAGGACACACAAGGACACCACAGTACAACACAAATGCAATATAACCACTATAAAAAAAACACTGAAAATAATAAGATACTCAACAACAAGAAATGTACATGTCACTTGTTAAAATTTTTAGGAGTGATTTAAAAACAGATACAGACTCTCTAATGGAATCTAGTTCCAGAGCCGTGGGGCACATGGGCCCCATGAAATTCAAGTTTAGTCTTTGGGATGGTGAGATGGAGCGGCTCTGCTGACCTGAGAGTGTGAGAGGGGGCGTAAGGGTGACCTAAGAGTGTGATAGGGGGCGTAAGAGTGACCTGAGAGTGTGAGAGGGGGTGTAAGGGTGACCTAAGAGTGTGAGATGGGCATAAGGGTGACCTGAGAGTGTGAGAGGGGGCGTAAGGGTGACCTAAGAGTGTGATAGGGGGCGTAAGAGTGACCTGAGAGTGTGAGAGGGGGTGTAAGGGTGACCTGAGAGTGTGAGACGGATGTAAGAGTGACCTGAGAGTGTGAGAGGGGGTGTAAGGGTGACCTGACAGTGTGAGAGGGGGTAAGAGTGACCTGAGAGTGTGAGAGGGGTGTAAGGGTGACCTGAAGAGTGTGAGAGGGGGTGTAAGAGTGACCTGAGAGTGTGAGAGGGGGTGTAAGGGTGACCTGACAGTGTGAGAGGGGTGTAAGAGTGACCTGAGAGTGTGAGAGGGTGTAAGGGTGACCTGAGAGTGTGAGAGGGGGTGTAAGGGTGACCTGAAAGTGTGAGAGGGGGTGTAAGGGTGACCTGACAGTGTGAGAGGGGGTGTAAGAGTGACCTGAGAGTGTGAGAGGGGGTGTAAGGGTGACCTGACAGTGTGAGAGGGGGTGTAAGAGTGACCTGAGAGTGTGAGAGGGGGTGTAAGGGTGACCTGACAGTGTGAGAGGGGGTGTAAGGGTGACCTGACAGTGTGAGAGGGGGTGTAAGGGTGACCTGAGAGTGTGAGAGGGGTGTAAGGGTGACCTGACAGTGTGAGAGGGGGTGTAAGGGTGACCTGAGAGTGTGAGAGGGGGTGTAAGGGTGACCTGACAGTGTGAGAGGGGGTGTAAGGGTGACGTGAGAGTGCGAGACAGGGTTTAGAGGTGACCTGACAGTATGAGAGAGGTTGTAAGGGTGGATTAGATCAGAGAGGCAGGAGGGCCATGCAAACACTTACAAGTAAATAAAATAATTTTAAAACTGATTCTAAAAGACACTGGGAGCCAGGCTTAATACATATTTAATAAAGAGGGAGTCTTACACACCATTTACTTTTTGGAGCTTCTTATCTTGCATCGTTGTACGTCTCCAAACCCTCCTTATGTTTAGTGTAACAGAAGCAGTGAATCAGAATATGTTTGATTGCCATTATCACTGAGGACTAAGAACTTGCTCCCAAGCCTGCATCAACCATCATCCTGTATGTTCTTTTCACACACAAAACACACAACAATACACTACAACTTGTACACTAATTGTGTTGTAATAGTGCTCTGAAGGGGGAGTGATTTAGCTCAGGAAAAAAGTGAGGGGAGGCTCAGAGTATCAAAAAACAAAAGTGAAACCAATTAAACATTTAAATACTAAGTAATTAAATAGTTTTCGGTGAATAAATCATTTTCAAAACAGTAAAGGGTAACATGGTGATCTAATATGTGATGTGGTGGCATACGCTGGCTAAATCGTCAAGGTGTGACAGGGCCTTCATATCATGGTCCCACCAAATGAAAATATGTTTTTGTCTTTTATCTGTCCATGGATGTTCAAAGCATTAGTTAGATGTGTTTCAGTTGCATCAGTTAGCTGTTTGTTAATTAGTTACTAAGCCTGAGTCATTCCAGTTCATTGTGATGTTTATGTTTGTGTTGATGCTTTAATAAGGCTGTGAAATGTTGTTATTATAAAGTTTGACCAAAGTTCCATAGTTTGTCCGGTGTGTTCTCTTCTAGAATAAGTACAATAGCATTTGCATATGTAGTAGAATACAGACTATAGCTCCTCTCCTAACGGCTCCTCTGGCTCTTATCTATAAGGCTGCAGTGCTCTCTCTAATACTCACCTGTGTAATGGCCTAGTCTGGGGGGAGCAGATAGCTGTGGGGTGTGGGGGGGGGGAGCGGCTCTAGGACTGGTTTGGGGGCCTCAGCTTAAAGTGCATATGGCAGGATTTCATGTTTTTCTAATTATGACTTGGTTTGGTGGGAAAGAACCTGTGCTGAATATGTATCATAGCTTTACAGTTACAAATTAAACCGATGTATGACATTTTAAACATTCATTTAACAAAGGAAACATCGACATATATTGTGTATTGTGCTAATTATTATGTAATTTCAACAGGTTTTGGCACTTATCAAAAGAACTGTATGTAAGATCCATAAACATGAGCTGTCTGTGTCTCCAGATATGATGTAAACACTGAATATTCAAATCAAATACAGCTTTTACTGATCATTGGAATGCTGATGTGTTCTTTGCTGTATAATTTTGTGTTTTTCTCAAGATGATTATTCAATTAGAAAGCAGAATGAGTCTCGCATTTGGTTTGACAGTTTCAACGCTGAAATCCAGTTGGTTTAAGTCTTCCAGACTGACGGTATCATACATGGTAATATTTTTTATATAACTATACATAACTTTCCAACCATAAAAGATAGAAACTTACTTTTTACCCCATGAAAAGCTGACAGCTGCATCTTTCCAAGCATATACCAGCATTATCCTACATCACAGGGTGCGTGATGATATAGGAAAAAAAGGGTGTCCAATAGGAGCTTTGTTTTCAGCCAAACTCATGCGCTCCGTCCATTTTGATTGGGCCAAACTTTGCCAAAGAGTGTAGTGAGTCAAAATGGTCGATGCTCTGAGTGTCTGTGTTTGTAATGATTGAAAAAGTCGCTCTAAGTGCAGTTATTCTCAAATAAATGGAAAATTACACATCTTGGTCTGTGTAAGCAGACCGTGCTATTTTTATTTTCAGGTTTATTTGAGTCCAAATGTCCAAATCCAAATGTAATAAAGCCCATGGAAATGCAGGAAGTGATGTGGCTCTGTGTCCTGGACCTGACACCAGCTGTTTCCATGACTGACACCAGGAAAGTCCAGGAAACATTGCACTTTTTTGTTTGGTTGTTTGTTTTGTGGCATTAAGGTGATTTTGAGTTACTTACAGACTTTTTTTTTTATGCCCAAAAAGTTGTTTATACATGTTTCCTGTGTGTTTTGTATGAATTTCTGTGAATTTTATGCTCTGTTTTTTGTTTGTTTGTTTGGTTGTTTTTTTTTCATTTGTATTTTTGGTCTTATAGATTTTATTACAGCCTTATGACACAACTACAGCAGCAGATTGTGAAATAACACTTCATTACGGGGTAAAAGGAGGAGTTTTAATAGGAAAATAACTAAAATACTAATTGCCCTTAGGCCTTGACTCGCTCTGATCCGAATGTACCTAAACCCTGGCAAGGTAACAGTCATGGAATTATCTGTACGTATGTCATATCTGCTGCTCATACCCAACCAGGAATTAGGCCTAAAATCATATACTAAATATCCTAAATGATATGAAGTAAAATTCTAATTAAAAGATGATGTTAATGAGTAATCTAACGTGTCCCATGCGCTTTAAACACACCTGATCTCAGATGTGGAGCAGGATGTGTCAGGATGATGGAGGAGACCTTTTAAGCGTAACAAGTTGGACTGCATACACACGCATACGAGCGCCGGATCAGATGAGACTGTGCTGAGATAACACCGCCGCTGTCAGGAAGACTTATGCCCCCGAGTCCGTTTGTCCTTCACAGGCTACCGTACACTCCCCACATGTAACCGCCATCACTGTTCTTTATGAGGGCGATAACTGCGCACATTTATCCAAGCACGCCTTCTCCCTGAACCCTCAGCTCTGTTAGGTAGCCCGTGTCACCAAGGCTAACACCCCGGTACTCCCTATTTATTTGTCGCCGTGGCTACAGATGGCGTAGTGTTAAGATCACAGGGAGATTTATATGAGCGTGTGCAGATGGAAGGCTCACCGTGCTCTCCGCCCACTGACACACTATAGATGTCTTGTTCATTCAGGCGGTGGCAGGTTTTACATAGTGTACGGCACACACGAAGATACTGCTGATACTAAAAGTGCTGAAGCTACAGAAGAGACCTGTGTGAAGGTGGCCCTCATCAAACGCAGTGCTGAGCTGCAAAAAGTTTGGTTTGTGCGATTATGGTTCTTAAGATATTAGCAGTTTTATTTTGGGCAGATGACGTCATCCAGCCCCTTAAAATGTTAAACAGCCTCAAAACAGGAAGAAAATTCTACCAGACGTTTGTATTTCATTTGTGCTGTTTTGTGATGTGACTATTTTCATTTGTGTGAGTATTTCTAAAATTATTTCCATTTTTCTAAAATGAATTAATCAGCTGACGGCAGCGGCTTTTGCAAAACTCAACAAAACTAGTGAAGAGAAATGATCGGAGGCTGTGGAAAAAGTCTGTATCAGTCTTAAGTCATTTTCTAATGATTCAAATTTTATAATAATACAGACTTTTCCAAAGCCTCAGATCATTTCTCTTCACTAGTTTTGCAGAGTTTGCCACTATCAGCCGAGTGGAAATTGCGTCATATAATTTCCACAAAAAAGAATAATTAATAATTTTAGAAACAGATCACAGGCTCTAAAATTGTGAGCACAATCACATCAGCTGTTTCTTGTCTACAGTAAAACCTCTCGCTCTGAGACTCTGAGAGCTCTGCACTCCTGGTTTAGATACAACGCAAAACTGTGTTATTATTATTTATGAAATGTAGTGCAAAACTTCAGATATGATTTTTAAAGCATAACAGATTGGAGATAAAGTCCTGTGGAAGTTGAGTCACCGTGGTGAATCTGCAGCTTCATCTTGATCCGTGCGCTGTGTGGATGTAAACACACACACACGAGGAACCAAACTCACAGTTTTTATTTCAAGAACTCCTCAAACTGGATTCACAGTGTGGGTTTGTGGACTGGATGCCATTATTTGTGGAGGTCATATTCTATGGATAAAGTGGATGAGATGCTGCACTTTATATTTAAAACTTTACGAGAGGTGAGGAATAATTTTCTCATTATTTTCACTGTTTCCTGAGTTTGTCTGTTGTGCCTTTGTATGCATCATTCCTCTGTCCCAGACACTCTGTTTTATTGGTTGTTACCGTGGCGTTGCTGATGTTTGGTGGTTATACACACACGCACACACACAAGGAGCGCAATGGCTTCAAAATCGTGTATGAAGACAAAAAGTCAGGTCATGCCTCCCCAAACTTGGGAAAAAGCAGATCATAGCCAAAATCAGGCAAATTCTCCTTTCTTATATGAGGCCTACAACACTGACATCCATATAAATATCCATAGACACTTCTAGAATGTTCAAACATGGTAATGTATACATTATAAATTATAGATTCAAACAAGGACTTTGAAGGTTTTATATCTCAGATAGAAAGTGGCCTTTATATGTTCATTATATATATATATATATATATATATATATATATATATATATATATATATATATATATATATATACATTTGACAACGTATAATAACATTGACAACGTTCAGTCAATGTACCAGTTAAACTGTGCCTGTAATTGTCACTCCACATACACACCTGGAGTTGAAGTGGAAGTGAAGTGGAAGTGAACAGCTCCTTTTACCTTTTGTTTCGCAGAGATTCCAGGGATGAACTGATCCAAAAGCTGCTAGTGAAGGTGTATGTTGTTTAAAAACACAGTGGAGCACATTCTGCATTACTACATGGCATCACAAGCCATGTACACAGCCTAAATATGCAGGATTTGTGTGTTAAAAATTATATGGAAACAACATTAGAACATAGATCTGGCATAAGTCTCTTTAAAATACCAGAATATTATAAGCCCAGTGTGACAGTCCAGTGTGACAGTCCAGTGTGACAGTCCAGTGTGACAGTCCAGTGTGACAGTCCAGTGTGACAGTCCAGTGTGACAGTCCAGTGTGACAGTCCAGTGTGACAGTCCTGTGTGACAGTCCTGTGTGACAGTCCAGTGTGACAGTGTACCTTGAGTCCCAGGCTGAGTTCTCGCAGAGACCTCTTCATCTCTTGGGTGAGCAGGTTCATGCGCTCACACTCCTGTAGCGCCACCACCTGGTAGGGCGTCCTTTCCTCAGCTTTACTCAGGAGCTCGGCCATGTTGAACTCCTCTGGCAGCTTCTCCAAGAGCTCCTCCAGCACCGCTCGCACCTTCAACACACACACACACACGTCAACACAACTGCACACTGACTATTTGTGTTTTTACATACATCATAGATCACCATGCTGCCTTTTATTGTTTTGAAAATGCTGTATTTATTGAAAACAGTGTATTAATGTTTTATTAATGCTTTATAAATTTATGTGTACATTTTATTTGTATCTATTAAGCACGTGCATCCTTTCAGCACTGAAAAATCTCTATTCAACAAAAAAATGACATATTTTCAAAGTGTCTGTGATGTTCTCTTGTTGTATAAACCCTCAGTCCAAAAATACATTCTGTCACTGGACAAAAGTTTTGGAGTGAAGAGCATTCACACGTCCAAGCGGCGTCTTCAGCTCTGGTGGATAGTGAAACGTCTTCCCTCCAAAGCTTTTGTCCAGCTGACAGAATGACATTTTCTTTTGCTGTGTGTGAAATGTTTTTTGTTTTTTTTTTTTTCATATTTTCGTGCTGTGTTTATTTGATTACATTTTTATTTATGTATTATTATTTATTCATTTTTTATTAGTTTCACCAAATGTATTGATTTGTCCAACATATAACTTTGACTCTCCATCGTCTCTGTGTAGTATTTCCACAGTGACAGTGTTTTGACTAGTAGCTCGCTGCACACCTGTTTGTGTCAGATGTAGTTACAAAGTTTGACAGGCTCAGACAGTGTTGTGCTCCACAGACAGCTGCATACATATTCATCGAGAGATGATTTGTGCTCTGACAGCTCTTTGTTTTGGAGATGAGTCTGGAAATCAATGCTGTTATCGGGCTGGCGTTGGTACGATGGAGGCGAGCGTCCGTGTCAAGGTTTTCCCAAGCCTCCGGAGCTGGTGATCAATGAAAGGCTTAGTATCCCAGCGGAGGATATAGACCATCACCCGTATGGATCTGTCCACACATCAGAGCGTCAGAGCAGGAGGGAAGGAGCACACACATCAAACAGAGGCCGGGGGACGGGTGTGGTCCACTAAAAACTACGACATGTCATTAATAACAATCGAATGTAAAAATTCTATTCTGTCAACTGGACAAAAGTTTTGGAGTAAATAAGTTTTGTCATTCATCCAAGCAACTTCTTCAGTTCTGACATGGTTCTGGTCATTCAAAATAATTGCCTCAGATCTGTCTGATGGGAGGAGCTAACCACCAAAACTAACACTGTAGCTGTTTACAGCAAGGAGGATCTGTTATTTGCAGGGTTGAGAAATAACTGAATATGTATCCCAAATACAAATTTTGTACTTATTTTAAGTAACTGTATTCTGGTGCAGACTACAATTACTTTTCTAAAATCAAAGGAATGCATTGTGTTACTTGATCTTGACATTTTTAGGCTAAAATTTAGGCTTCAAACTGCAAAGAATTATTTAAGGAAAATAGGAAACACTGCTCTTGTGGTGATGCATGTGTGGTTTGTGTGGAATATACATTATAAAACAGGTTTGAATGCCGGTATTCAGTATTCTGTAACTAAATATATGTTCAAAGTATTCTCCCCATCACTGGTTATTAGTTGGATCACCATGTGACCTTTAATTATTCTGAAAATGCTATTTTGCAATGTTTTATGAATTTCACTTTTGTTCTTGACGCTCTGACACTCTTTCCTTTCCATGCTAAGTCACCCCCCGTACAAAGCACAATCACAATGCAACTGCTGTGCATCAATGAAACTACTGCACATTGCATCAGGTTTGTGAAGTTGTGTATGGTTTTGTATGATGCTTTTGTATATTTATGGAGTATTGCTGTGTAGGAGCATGGGTGACAAGCCTGGGAGAGATCGCTTGATTACTCAAACATGCATGGGTGACATCTAGAACCTCTTCAGGCATGACTTGGATGAGGGGATGTTATTCCATATGTTATAATATGGCAGACAGTTCACTTTTGTATCTTTATTGCATAGTACAAGTGTCACGGGCACAGTGTGTGGATGTGCCCTGTCCACATGTTTGTGTTTGGACACATTGCTGTGGACAGTCACACAGCAGAAGAGTGGGGTGAGCCCTTTAAACCGGGCTTACTTGTTTCATAAAGCAGGTTTAATACACCTGACCTGGTTACCACGGAAACAGATCCCAGCGGTCTATGGGGGTCTTTGTCAGGGGTGGCTGGATAAACGGACACAATGCAATTACAAAAGCTGCCGTGCTCCCAGCCCCTCTCAATGGAGCAGCTTCTCACTGTAGCGAGCTGCACACATGGTTTATTTATGAACATTGTCTTTAGGTCATTCAGATGTACAGCTCCAAACTGTGAGGAGCTCCAAATACAGTATTAAGATAATGATGAAGGAAAGCTTTGTTAAAGTGCAAAGAAACACTAAGTTTCCTTTAAAGGGCCAGATTACAATATGTTCTAATATTGTTTCCTCATCACAAACAGACCTGCAGTTGTGTTGTGTTTCATTCACACATGTTTAACACACAAACCTGCACATTTAGGCTAAGTTCAAACAGAAACCCTCCACTGTTCCACCTTATGATGTCATGTGATAATACAGGAAGTGCTTCACTGTGTTTTTAAATTCCACACACCTTCACTAGAATCATCTGGATCATTTCAGTCCAGGAATTGCTAATCTCAGTATAACAAAAGGAAAAAGTTAACTTGAAAACTACCATTTCATGACATCACAAGGTGGAGCAGGACATTTTAAACTTTGGAGATGCAGACAGACTAATGATATAGGATTACTCAGACATGAGGGAATGAAACAAAAGACAAATTCAGGTCTGTTTTTTGGGAGGTAACATAGTTTAAAGCCCACAAGAATAAATTTGGCATAATATAGAACCTTTAAAGGATACACACACACTTTTCTATGTTTCCCCTCATTGTTCACTTATTGAGAGATGTATCTTGACTGGCACATACATGTTTGAATAATCCTGCATTATCCTGTATCTGAAGCTTGAGTGATGAGAAAGTTCCTGTTTTCACCTACCCCATCCCCACCCAGTGTCCTGTACTTGTAATTATATATATATATATATATATATAAAAAAGAATCATTCTGAAAAAACATATTGGCTTCAAAAATGTTCCATTGTAATTTTCCGACAGTAAAATCAGCTGTAGGCTTCAGTGAAATGTCACCTTTAAGCAATTTTAGATTAACATGGCTGGTGAGGAGAAAATTCAGTTTGTCAACTGGACAAAAGTTAGTTTGGTTGAAGACAAAACATCAGAACTGAACTGAAGAAGCAGCTTGGATGAGCTGCGAAACATCTTCAACCAAACTAACTTTGTCCAGTCGACAAACTGAATTTTCTGCTCGTCATGGATTCACCCTGGACGACTGAGGGATTCTTCACACATTAACATGGCCGTTCACAATTAAAACAATGAATTGTCTACAACAAAGTAATAAAGTAATATTAACAAGGAAACATTTTACTTCTATGGAATATTTACTGCTAATACATAACCTATGTAGATCATCATGTTACCTTCCATTGCTAAATTTGCCAAAAAAAATTACATATATGTATTAACATGTTTTAAATGTTTCACTGCCATGACTGAGTAAAAGTCACTCCCCCTTCAGAGCACTATCACAACACAGTGCATCCCACTAATGTAACTACTGCACAAATCAGGTTTATCAAGGTTTATTTTTAGGCAAACAACGAAGAGATGAAACTGGTCCAAATCCTGGTCCAGTCAGGTCCGTGACGCGAGGTCTGGGAGCCGAATGCACGAGCTGATTATAAAATTGTCTTAATCTCACTTCCCACTTAAATCTGAAAGTTACACCAGTCCATATTAGCACCAGGACACCAGGTGGACTTACACGCTACGCTAGGTGAGACTTTTACACCGAGAAAAAAGAGGGCAAAGGCGGACAGAGCAGTGAGCGACTGTCCCGGCTCCGGCTCCAGCGGTGCGTGGGTTCTGGTCCCAGCGGCGGGTCTGTCCTCATGCTTTACTGTGGAAAGGTTTAAGCTAACAGCTAGCCGCCATTAGCCAGTGTGTGAATCAGAATAAGAGCCATAGTATCTCACTGCAGCTCATTCCAGCTTAATGCTTCTTTTTTTGTTCTTACTCCCTAAAACTGTTCCTGGGACGTACTTGTACGAACTCTCCATAACTGTACAGCACACAGCTCTGTTGTTGTCATCATTAGCACCTGTAGCAGTGCAGAGTCAGAGCTGAGTGACAGAGCAGCTGAACAACAACAGGTCAAGATGTGTGTAAATGTTTATTCAGACAATCAGTAGATTTCATGTCACTCCGACCCTGCGCCCCAAACACGGATTTTAGGGCTAATGTAAAGTCATGGGCACAAGCAACGTCATGATGTCAGATTTCCATAGAAACTCCATTAAGTCGCTCCGACTCACCGCACTCAAATTCCAAACATATGACTCAAATAAAGTGATATGAGCACATTTAACAACATAAAAATATGTCTATGCAGATACACGTTACATTTTAAACAAAATATTCAACATATAGCCTAATACAAAATAACCACTTTATTTATTTATTTTTTTTTCTTCTTTTTTATCTAGGTCAAGTTAGGGAGTGCGGGGCTCTTGGGCCCCTATTGACCAGCCGCCAGTGCATGTGACCTTTTACTGTTCTGAAAATGCTATTTTTGCCCAAAACAATGTACTAACATGTTTTATGAATTTCACTTTTGTTCTTAACGCTCTGACGCCCTTTCCTTTACCTGGTAAGTCACCCCCCTTCAAAGCACAATCACAATGCAACCGCTGTGCATCCCACCACAAGTCTACAAGCGGCAAAAGATTTATGTTGACAGTATGAAATGTTTAGAGTTTCTTGGAGAGCTCCTTCAGGTATGATTTAGGTTACGTTCAGACTGCAGCCTGAAGTGACCCAAATCAGATTTTTTTGGTCCCTATGCTCCTGTATCTGATCTTTTAATGACAGTCTGAACCATACAGATCAGATTTTTTTTTTTTCAATTGTGACCCAGGCCACTTGGATATGTGCTCCTAAAACCGATACATAT